CGGAGTCACAGGGAACCTTTTCGGTCTTCGTTGTTCTCTTTTTTTTTTATGACCTTCTTTTCTTCCCTGTTCTTCCCTTCTTGCCTTCTTTTTCTTGGATCTCCCTGGATGCTTCTCCTTCTTCCTTTTTCTGTCCTTTTTCATTTCCTACTCGGGTGTCCGATGCTTGCGTCGTAGCGAACCCTTCTCCTCCTGCGTGTCCGACGGTTGGGTCGCAGCTGGGAGCATCGTTCTTCTTCCCTTCAACGAGGAGCAGAAGCTACGAACGGAGCAAAGGGCATCGCTACTAGAAACAAAATGAATTTAATTAGAATTGTAATTACTAGCAAAGGAATCTACTAGGATGCTTTTCTTCATTTCCCTTCTCTCCCTACCCCTCCCTCCCTCGTGCGCGGCATGCTTACAAACGAGGCGTTTACAACAGGCTCTTCAAGGTTTGGCTCATCGGTTCGTTCCCTTTCATTTGGTTTCGTCAGCCCCACACGCTGTTTTGCCTTTCCCTTCTCAAGCCGCCTTAGAAGACTCCGCCCTCGCTTGTGAACCGGAGTCACAGGGAACCTTTTTTGGTGAATGCCGGGGGGCCGGGGTTCCAGACCTCCTCTGGTTTGCGACGTGCTTTAAGGGCCGTGTGGCATGAGGCAGTTCAGTACGCAAATCCCTCTCAACACTTCACTTCACACTTCAAGTACCGATTGCCGTTTGACAACAGAAAGGGGCTCCATGGCACCCGTCCCCGAAGACCACACACCAAGGAGTTGAAAACGCCTGCTCTGATCCCCTGTTTCGTTCTAACTCATTCCCTGCTCAAGGCGTCTCACCCGTTGCAATGTGCTAGTGCAGTAAAGGGCTACTGAGTCGCTACGACAGCTACGAAGCTACGACAGCTGCGCTTACGCAAGACCACCTTGGAGACATTGAATGCCATTGGGAAAAAGAAGGCTACCGGCGAAGAAAGGCTACCGGGAACGTTGTGGCATTCGGATGCCCCAACTTCACGTCACGGTACCTCAGCTCCGTGCCCAAACGGTTCATGATCTCATCCCGGCGTTCGTCGTCGCTCATCTCCATCAGCTCCTGCTGGTCCTGTAGAACAGCTCAAACAAAGGAAGCTAAACAACCATCAAATCAATATTACCCCCCATTTTAGTCTGCCTTCCGAAAACCCATTTGTAGGCCTTGCTCTTCAGTTTCTCATCATAGCCTTTGGATAGATCTGGAAGGACATCCTTCATGACGTCCTGAGAAGGAAAACTCTGAAGCTCAGTGCCATCAACCCCCCCACTGAGGCGAAAACATCCACAAGCTTTGATCGCTCCAGTCTTGCCCAGAAACTTGTGAAGCAGTCAAACGCATACATGCCTCAAAGAAGCTACTAGGAACAAGTGCCTTACTAGTAGTAACAAGAAGCTACTAGGAAAAAGTGCCTTACTAGTAGTAACAAAAAACTATTAATTTAACTAAAAGTTAAAATCAATTCTAATTTTTTAGATTCTAAGTTAATTCAATTTTAATTTAGTTTAATTCTAATCTACTTTGATTCTAATTTAAGGCAACCGAAGAATTTCACCGTAGACCCCAAACAGCCAAGAAAGGTATTGCATGGGACGCTACGAGGAGCAAGGACGCTACGAATGGGGCTCCTGGCCGTACTACTAGGAGCAAGAAGCTACTAGGAGCAAAGGACGCTACTAGGGGTTCCTGGCCGTACTACTAGGAGCAAAAAGCTACTAGGAGCAAAGGACGCTACCAGGAGCTCCTGGGCATCGCTACTAGTAGCAAGGACGCTACTAGTAGCTCCTGGCCGTACTACTGAACAAGAACGCTACGAATGGGGCTCCTGGCCTTCCTACGAGCGGAGCAATTTTTCCCGAGAGCGTCTGCGAAGGGTTCTTCGTAAAAAAACATTTGCAGAACTACGTCTCATCTACATATTCACATTTGCACATCTACATCACCACTGCACATCTACATTTTCTCATCTTCACATCTGCACATCTACATCTGCTCATCTTCACATCCTCTTCTTTACTTTCTCTCTTAAGGCCAGGGGCGGCGCCGCCGGAGCACCACGAAACGCAACCCTCTGCGGAGATCGCGTCGAGGGCACGAAATGCAGGCGAGATTGCGGTTTGTCTCTGTCCGGCGCAACCCTCTGCGGAGATCGTGCGTGTCGGGGGCGCGAAATGCAGATGAGAGCGCGTTTTGGATCGGTCGCGCTTCACTTTTGGAGGAAGTCTCATACGAAACGGTTTTGGAGACTTGGCGCTGCACTTTTGGAGGAAGTCTCGTACGAAACGCTCGTTTTGGAGACTTGGCGCTCCACTTTTGGAG